CATATGGACCTGTCCTCAGACAGAACACTAAATAAATAAGGTACCAAGACTCCTTGAGACGTGTCCAATTTAATTTGAAGTCGACAGATAATATAATCATCTCTGCTACGTAATCTACAGCGGACTGCAATGCCGACCTGGTCTGTTTAGGGCTACTAATTCCGTTTAACCAGATAATATATTTGGTAAAATTATTGATTTCAACCGTTACTGATTACTCTCCGACCGATGTTATTCCGGGTTTTTGCGTCGTCGGTAGATGAAACGTTTCGGAGAAACATACTGTCTCCATCTTCAGGGCTAATCATCCTCAACGACGTAAAAACACCAAATCTCACACGCTTCAGATTATTATTTTAAATGTCACGACTCTGCACCAATCCCTACAAGTTCGCAATTTGTTATTCTTTTATTCTGAGGTTAAACTGTGCAAAATTCTTGAAATGACAGCCCTCTCAAGTCTCTATCGTGGCTAGACGATTCAAAAGCAGGAAAAGTTATTCCCCTTTAAGCAGAAATGAGAATTTAGAGGTTGGTCCTGAACGCAGGTCCTGTTCGTCACCGGATTCCACCGCGAAGGCCCCCGGTTCGTACCCAGGACAGACTAAAACACAACTTGTACTATGAGAATACATTGGGTCTCGTCTTCGTCGAATGTATCGCTGTGAAGTATCGAACTCTGAGCTTTTATTGAGATTCTGGTTCTGAGACTGCCGCACTATGGCATCGCCAGTTCGAATCAGACTTCTGTTACAAAAACTTACGACAAAGATTTATGAATCCTACTTTTCTTTGAACATTATAACGTGTTATCCACTTATCTGTACAGTTTCGCGTCAGTGGCCTGCAGATTTCGGCCGCATTAACACTTCCAGCCCGAAAGAGGACCAACATCAAAATTTTAGCGCCAATCAGTGCTCAGTTTTTAAATAAATAAATAATAAAAAAAAAGTGTTACAGAATTTCTATGCAGAACCACGTTTAAAGTGTTCCCATACACAGTTCATATGTCGAGTTCCGTTGGATCGGAACAGAAAACCTAAATTTAGAATTTCAACGGCCGCCATATTGCTTTACAGTCTAGAAAATAAAATAAGATCGAGTGGTTTGCACTCCCACGTCGTATTTGGGAGATTCTGGGTTCAAATCTCGACGCAGAGACTCAACCTCTTCCTACCATAACTAACTAGATGGAGGTTCATCACCGAATTAACCAAAGCCCTCCACCGGACCCTGTCCTGGGCCAACAAAATCCAGTCTCCTTCAACTCCTATCTCCCATAGATCCCGCCTGACATTATCCTCCCATCTACGTCTAGGTCTCC